GTTTTATTTCTCCTTCAGTGAATAAAAGAGCAAGAGAATCATGAAATTTTAGTGACTTTAGTAAGTTACTGTGACAGCTTTTCCCATTTAGGAACAAACCAGTTTCATTAAAAAATAGAAACCAAAGTGCAAAAGTTTTAAAAGTGAATAGAAAATTGAAGGAGCCAAGCCAGTACTGGTACTAATACTGAGGGGATATTTTTGTCATTTACATACAAAAAAAGAAGTTTCATTCAGATATATAGATTCTAGAATTTATAACGTTTCACATGATCGTCGGCCATGACAATCGAAGACTCCATGTCCTAAATATGTCACGAGTACGCTGATAGATCTAGGCCGCGCGTCCATTAACACTGAGACATTAGGCTGATAGATCTAGGCCGCGTGTCCATTAACACAGACATTAGGCTGATAGATCTAGATCTAGGCCCCGCGTCCACTTACACTGAGACATTAGGCTGATAGATCGAGGCCGCGCGTCCATTAACACAGACATTAGGCTGATAGATCTAGGCCGCGCGTCCATTAACACAGACATTAGGCTGATAGATCTAGGCCGCGCGTCCATTAACACTGACATTAGGCTGATAGATCTAGGCCGTGCGTCCATTAACACTGAGACATTAGGCTGATAGATCTAGATCTAGGCCGCGCGTCCATTAACACTGAGACATTAGGGAAACGAGTTCAGCAGACAATCAGCGCTGACAGTAGGAACACATACCACCTGGCAACTAAAGGGTTCAGTGAAGCCAAACAGAATCTAACAAGCAGAGAAAACAGAAGGAACACTCGTCACTTCATTTCTTGGAGGGAACACTTGGGGTGTCCATAAAAGCCGAACTTTGCTGTCTCAAGACAAATTTTATGGAAGTCTAGCCTCCAGCGGGTTATTTATCAAATTCCTCCAGCAAAACAAGATGAAATGAAAGAAGAAAAGAAGCACTTCCAGCGCCAGCAGCGAGAAGAAGAGAGTTGCGACAAGGTGAACAAAGGAACACACTACCCACCACCTCGTGTGTCAAAAGCTCCGGACCCTCCAGCCACCAACATTTGGCGACCCCAGTGCTTTCTTGTCCTGTCTCCATTTTTGAAACGCTTAGTTTTAGTAAGAGTTATGCGGCACTTGCAACACAAAAAGGTCATATATGTGCTGAAGATTAGAGGAGTTACAAGAGAGTAACAATCACACAATAAGGTCATATAAGTGCCGAAGATTAGAGGAGTTACAAGAGAGGAACAAACACAATAAGGTCATATAAGTGCCGAAGATTAGAGGAGTTACAAGAGAGGAACAATCACACAAAAAGGAGGGAAGATGTTTCATAGTAAAAAAGAAGCAAACCACAACAGAGCACCCGCCAACCACCCGCTATCTCCATTTTTAATTACAGTGAAAACAGTTCATAACAAAGAGTGAGCTTAAGAAGATGTCACATTTTCACTGTTTAAAAAAAAATGGAGATAAGACAAGACGAAAGCACTGAGGTCACGGTTCGTGAACGCATGGAACAACCAACCACCAAAGACAGAAGAGTTCCCCATGCAGCAGACGTGAGAAAGAGTTGTCGTGAAGTACCAGATGTTTGACTTTGGCTAGTTCCTGCGTGGTGAGACCGGCAAACTCCTCCGTCTCCTCCTCCTTCTTAAAATACTTGGCCCTGTACTCGTCTGCCGCTGACAGTTGCTTCTGGAGATCCTGGTTCTCCTGAAAGTCACCGCCCATACAGTCAGACAGACGGACAGACACACGGACATACAGTCAGACAGACGGACATACAGTCAGACAGACGGACACACGGACATACAGTCAGACAGACGGACAGACACACGGACATACAGTCAGACAGACAGATGGACATACAATCAGATAGACGGACACACGGACATACACACGGACATACAGTCAGACAGACAGTCAGACAGACGGACATACATTCAGACAGACGGACATACAGTCAGACAAACAGACAGACAAACGGACAGACAGTCAGACAGATGGACATACAGTCAGACAGACATACAGTCAGACAAACGGACACACGGACAAACACACGGACATACAGTCAGACAGACAGTCAGACAGACAGACAGACACATAGACACACAGTCAGACAGACAGACAGACACACGGACAGACACACGGACAGACACACAGACACACAGACAGACACACAGACAGACACACCGACAGACAAACAGAC